TATATATATATATATATGTGTGTATATATGTATATACACATATACGAGGTATGATAAAAAAAAATACAGTGAATATTAATATCAAAAGAAACCTATTACGTTAAAAAATAAATGACAATTTTTCCCTTTCAAAATACTCTCCTTGCTTTTAATACACTTATCCCAATTGTTCTTGCCATTTGCTAAAGCAATAATCAATTCAAGACATCGAGGTAGCCACGACAGTGCAACTAAAGACACTTATGAAAGAGGACTTCCGGTACTGCTTTAGCAAGTGGCAAGAACGATTGAGATAAATGTATTAGAAGGGAGGGGCAGTATTTTGAAAGAAAAAAATTGTCATTTGTCTTTTAATGTAAGTTTCTTTTTATTTCAACATTTATCGTATTTTTCTTATCACCCCTCATTATATATACATATATAATAATCGTAAAAGAAATGTTATTCTCATAGTAGATATTTTTTTCTAAGGACAACGATCGAACAACTGACGAACGAATTTAACAGCTTGGATACGAAGATTAAAAAGATCAAAAATCAAATTCAGCTCTCTTCGACCGAAGACGACATACAGGAGCAGATGGCACAGTTTCTTCAAGTAACAAACATGACGACTAATCTCATAGATATATACAATATAGGATCAATTTTTTTAGAAAGAGCAGTAAAAATAAAAATAAACGAAACTCTTGCTTGATCCGCAGATGGCCGAGCGAGAAATGGCACAATTGAAGAGGGATATGGAGGAGCTCGAAGGAGTGAGACGATCTCTCGCAGAATTCTTCTGCGAGGACACAAACACATTTAAGATCGAAGAGTGCTTCAGGATATTCCATCAGTTCTGCCAGAAGTTCAACCAGGCAGTCGCGGAGAATGAGAGACGCCGCATCCAAGAGGAGCAGGTCCTGGCGCGTCGCAAACAGCGCGAGGAGCAATTGCTGGCAAGAAAACGACTGCGTGAGTGTATGCGTATCCTCACAAAAAAAAGGAACAAAATGATGCTATATTACATTTTTGTTAGTACAGTTTTGCGTTTCACGAGTTTAATTTTTGAGCAGCAAAGCTTTTTCGTAAATCGCCTTTAGAGGAATTTAATATTGTATTAATTGTATTATAAATACATATTATTATATTATGTATTATAAATATTGTATTATATAATACACTAATAACAGTGTTTTTAAAACTCAAAAATAAGTAATTAATCTTTTAAAATTCAAAAGTAAGTAATTAATCACTAACCAATTTAATACTTACATTTAATACTTGCAATTAAATTTCTGTAAGGGCGATTTACAAAAAAACTTTGCTGCTCAAAAATTAAACTCGTGAAATGCAAAACTACACTAACAAAAATGTAATAAGGCAAAGGTGCTATACATATTGCAAGATGTCCGAAAAGTATGGCAATCTCTTAATATTTCGGAAACTAGCGTTTTTGAGAAAAATGTTTTAGACAAAAGTTGTAGGGCTTAAAAAAATCTATTTAATGATTTTATCCGTTTGACCTTGAGTGGCATTGCCAAGGTCAGATAAAGATCACATTAATTTTTTTAAATGGAACACCCTATTTTTGATCTAATATATGGTGTCAAAAGCTTTTCAAAGCACTTTGATAAAGTATTTTTTGTTTGTATTTTTTTAAGTAAATTTCGAATTATGAAGCTTGAAAGTTACAATACTGCCATTATAGCATTATCCAAGATGTCCGAACAATGGCTAAAATCTTTTGAATATTGTTCAATATATGTGAAGGATTAATATATGTCAAGGTCATTGGAGGTTTCTTCTCTTTTTTTCAAAACATAAAAATAATTTTCAAAAATAAAAATAAAAGCAACAACCTTTTAGCTGGTTTTAATCATTGTTCGAACACCTTGGATAATGCTAATGCCAAAACTGTAACTTTCAAGCTTTATAACTCGATATTTACTTAATCAAAAAATATTTTATTATAATGCTCTGAAAAGCTTTTGACACCAGTTATTAAATTTTGGAATCAAAAATAGGGTGTTTTATAAAAAAAAATTAATGTGACCTTTACCTTGGCGATGTCACCCAAAGTCAAACGAATAAAATCATTAAATAGATTCTTTTAAGTCCTACAACTTTTGTCTAAAACATTTTTTTCAAAAACGCTTAGTTCCGAAATATTAAGGGATTGCCACACTTTTCGAACACCCTGTATATATACATCGAAATGGTCCCAAAAGTAGATAAATCTCGACTTTCTTTAAGAGAACTCCTTTCTTTTTCTCTTGGCTTTTGATTTCTCTTGGCGATTGATGCGTAAGATTCGTATTTATTAAATACGCAGTGAGCAATCAAGCGGAGATCCCGGGCTCGGAATCTGAATCTAACTTGATGGACTATGGGCTTTTCGATTTCCACACCGGTTTACCTCAGAGAAATTATAGCCGCGGAGAGGCCAAGGTAAAATCTGTCATCTATTTATCATTTATTTAGCGTCTACTTGTAATATCTAGCACGAGAAAAATGTTTTGTGAAAAAATAGTGACACTAAATAAAACACGATTAAATATTTTCAGATAATAGAGTCCATGAATTATAAAATTTATTGTAACAGACAATTCCGTTATTTGTGATCGTTTACAAAAACTTTTATTATACGCACTTTGTCCACTTTTGTTTCAGATTTACTAGAAAACTTACTTTTCTTTACAACTGTTGTAAAATTCCTTAATATGATTGGTTTATACATTTAGATCCATGAAGAATTAAGGGCAAAAACCAATCATGTTGAAGAATTTCACAACAATAGCAAAGCTGCTTTCTCTGCTGAACACAGCCAATCCTAGTATAATAAAAAGCGCGAATATATTATATGAAATAATCGAATGTCTTGATCAATTTTATTATAATAAATAAATTTGAGAGCGTCTTCTACGGTCGAGGCTGGATCTTGATGCTTAATAATATTTCTATTGAATTTTAAATCCATTATTTAATTTTTTTAAACTGCGCGCAAATTAATGTCGGACTTGCAACGCAATCATAAGCTGAAACTGGAATAGTGAGATCACAATTAAATTGATCTTCAATGTTTAATAATTTGATGCGAACAAGCATTTTATTAAAATACTGCGAATATTGCCTTAGAAAAATATTTGCCTCAGTCAGGGTTTGACCCTGGAACCTCCTTGAACCTGGGAAGGCATCTTATTAATTCGACTACCCAAGCATGTGATAATATTTATCATAATAAGCGGTATACAGTTTGTTTGACAAGAGCGTGTACGGCGAAAATTATTTAAGATAATAGATTGAAAAAAAATACACATGATATACTGCATGATATAGACTGTGATGCTTTATTAGTAATAAGTTGTCCAGTCACCTCTATTATCAATAATTGACTGGGCTCTCCGAGGCATGCTTTCTACTAATTTAATAGCATAATCTGGAAAATAGCGTCTCTATCAATGGAAAAAATCAATGGAAAATTTTTTTCCTTCAAAATACTCCTCCTCGCTTCTAATACACTTATCTCAATCGTTCTTGCCACTTGCTAAAGCAATACCGGAAGTCCTCTTTCATAAGTGTCTTTAGTTGCGTTGTCGTGACTGCCTCGATGCCTTGAATTGATTATTGTTTTAGCAAGTTGCAAGAATGATTGGGATAAGTGTATTAGAAGCAAGGGGAGTATTTTGAAAGAGACAAATTGTCATTTATCTTTTAACGTAATAGGTTTCTTTTGATATTAACATTCACCGTATTTTTTTATCACACCTCGTCAAACGTGTACCTTTACCGGGTGTTTGACGGTTTGCTAGACGAATTTATTTGCGTGGGCACACTATGATATGAGTGAAGAACGTGTCCAAACAAAAAACTTGGTCCAAAAAAAATTACATTGTCCCAATCAATTTTCCTTCGCCCAAGTGAATCTCTTTTTGGTGCGTTTTTCGGACAATAACAGTGTCTTTAGTGTGCTGCGAAATTTTACTTCATGAGCCAGTAAACGTCTTCTTATAGTATCACATGACACATTTAGACCCTTTTTATGCAAAATCGCTTGCTCACCACGTAATGATAGATAAGAATTCTTCTCGAGTACCCGTAAAATCATTTTGTCCTCCTTTTTCTTCGTTGTTTGCATGGAGTCACGATTTGGCAGATCGACATTTTTTACTTCGGAATAGCGTTTCACCTATTTACTGACAGATATCTTTGACTTCTTCATGTATTTAGCAGCCGCTATGTATGACATTTTCGATCCTTTCAAATGCAAACACAGAAACACGGCTTCGTAACGCGGCACTCATGACGAAATATGCCCTTCTGTGACCAAGGTCGAACGATAACTAAGACTTTCTATACAAAACGTCTTAGGGGAAGGATCTCGCTATCTACTCGTATTCGAATCTCCTCTTTAACGGTTTTTAAAAAAAAGTTTCACCGTACATGCTCTTGTCAAACAGACTATGAAAGGAAAATGTTTGCTAAAAGGTATACATATAAACTGTTTACGTAAAAGGCTAAATAATGAATTTAGAATTCATATCGAAATATTATTAAGCACCAAGATTCAATCCCGACCGTCGAAGAGGCTCTCAAATTCATTCACTTATGCGATCCAGATCAATTTATTACTGTTTATAAGTTTTTATTATAATCTTTCTCTGTGTTATAATATAAATATAATTTTATATTTGTATAAATATATTTTAAGTATAATCAAAATAATAGAATCAGAGTAAAAAAGTCTTCGACGATGTTTGTAGATAAGAAGGTTGCAGAATAGCGGTGTCACGTCGGACGAAGACGTCTCCGTCATTGGATCGCCGAGCATCCGACGTCGTTTAGGATCGTGTTCCGGCGGTCCCGATCAACAATCTACCAAAGAAGACACATATTCACCAGGTATCATGCCGCAATGTTTAAAAAAGCTGCGAAATTGAAAATCTTTTGAATAATACGAAATACAGGGATTGAAAGTAATTTGTTACTTGTAATGCCATTACCGTTACAGTTACTTTTTTTTGTAACAGATTGGTAACAGCGTTATTCTTTTTTTTGGTAACTGTAACGATAACGTAGTTACATTTTCTCGATAACGGTAACGAATTATACAATTACTTTTATCGTTACTTTTTGTATTTGTGACAAAATTTTCATATACTTAATCTTCAGCTAGTATATTCATAGTTTCCTCTTATTTTAAGACTGTTTTAAATAATGTCTTAAAATATTAATGTAGCTCTGTGATTGGTTTATGACATCTTAAGAATGCCATAAGTCAATCAATATCACAAATAAAATTAACAAGAATAAGATATTTACGTTAATAAGCATCTTAAAATACTTTGAAAAATTTATTGTGAAAAATATCAGCCGAATTACGTTTCAAAATCAAAAATTTAATTGGCGCGTAGAATTGATGTGTACAAATTCACTCTGAAATGTCTTTTCTTTTTCTAGTTGTATATTTTTATATATCAGTCTAGTGCCGTTATTGTATTGCTTTTATTAATATAATGCTTTTATTAATATTTAAAAAAATTTTAATTATTTAAACTGATCTTCAGCATTAAAAAAGTAACGAACAAGTAACGAGTTGTTACTTTTTAAATAACGGTAATGATAACGAGTTACTAGTATTTAAAAATTAATAACTAATAACGATAACAAGTTTTTAACTCGGTAACGATAACAGTAACTAGTTTCTTTTAAAAAGTAACTTTCCATTCCCTGACAAAATATTACTTTCTTTCTACTCAATTTACTTAACAGATTTTACTTAACAGATATCACGCCTAACGGCACGCTTCGTCGGCGCAGAAGTAGAATACCCTGCGAGGATGACGACGGAAATCTGATGGACTTCTTACGAACCTCCGGACAGGATAATACACGAGAGAGAAAATCATGGGGAAGTTTAGGTATTTAATAATACTTAATATGTTTTACAGTGATATTATTGTAAAAAGAAATTAAATTTCTTTTGAAAAACATCGAAGATCGATCGTGGGCGCGGAGAGCTCGCGGACAATCGCGAAGAGGGGATCTGTTAAACGCCGATTTTTCGGGAGATCGGGAACGACCGAGCTCGCCGTCTCCTCTCGCGGAAAGTAAACCATTCCTGCAAGAGGAGGAAGCGAAGCCAACTGGGTAAGACAATATAATATGTATCAATTCGACAGCTCTCTGAATTGCGTTCTTATATCTGATTCAAAATAAAGGAACGCACATTTACGGAAGGAATAGATGATAGATATATAATATTTTTATTTACTTCTCAGTTTATATGCCAAGAAGGGACCTTTGGACAATCTGAACTTAACCACACACATCTATCCTCCAATTAATATTTAACTCTAACAGCTACTTGAAAATTTTTGATACCTGCAGCTCATCTTAATTTATCAAATTATCACAGCCATAAATTTGTTAATACTTAACTCTATATTTATTAATATCTAATTTTGTTACAAATATATCAGAAATCTTGCCAGATTCCGAGCTACATATACTTACATTCCTCTCCCCCTTTCCTTATAGTCTGTTATCTATTCTTCTACTATATATATCTTTTTCGTGTTCTCTCTCATTCTTCTTTTTCTTGAATTTCTTAGCTCTCTCACAAAGATATAAATATAATATATAAAAGATAGATATACATACAAAGAAAACAAATAAAAATTTAATAAAAAAAAATTTTTCGTAAAGCTCAATTAATTTATCTTTGGTGGAAATCAGGAAAGCCTGGCGACAGAAGATTGAGGCATGGCTGTCGGAAAACGAGAAAGAAGATCGTGCGGGCGAGCAACTCCAGAGAAGAGCGAAGCAACTGCATCAAGCAAACCGACGATCCTTCGAAGACTCGGGTGAGCAGCTTACTTTTCACAAATATCGAAATAATTTTTTTAATGCCAAGCTTTCCAACATGAGACATATCCGATTGCAGAAAGTGAAGGCAAGAGCCCGATGAATACCCTGGCAGAAGATCAAACTATGCTGGAAGGAAGAGGATTCTCCGAAGTTTACGACTGGCGACCGTCCGTTGAGAAAACAGACGTGATGCGCACGATGGAGGCCATTGAAGGTACGCACAAATTATAAATTTATTGTATTTTTTATTATGACGTCACTGTAAACATTATTATAATATAATAATTGCAATTGAACCAAAATGACAACTCTGGTGACAAAATTCTCATCTTTTATATTTTTAAGAATTTTTCATATTTTAAATTTCAAAAGATTTAAAAAAATATCTTAAACTTCATAGATTTTATAAATTTTCTTCTGAAATTACAGTGAGAAATCTTAAAAATTTTATATTTTAGAATTTACATTAAAGAATCTAGAAAAGATGTAGATCTTCTAAAGATATAAACTTCATTCTAAATATATGTATAAAAAATGCTCCAATTTATATTAAAAAATTTAAGAAATTTCCTAAAAATTCCTTAAAAAGTTAGAAAATTATACAAAAATTGTAAAAAATTCTGAAAAATTCTGAAAAATATGAAGAATTCTATGAAGAATTTAAAACAAAAATTTTACCACGAAATCCATAGCAATCGATACGATTGACAATTAAAGCAAACATTTATTCCAGAAGCTCAACCGCTGTCGTCCCAGGACAAGTCTCCCTGGCGAAAGTCGAGCTTGAACGTTCCAAATAGTACGGAAGAGGCTGATCCGCGTTATTCCCGTAGATATAGATCGAGACCCAGCACAGAGAGCGCTCTAATGCCGAGCACTCTGCAGGTAAATGTGAATAAAATCAATTTATCAAGCATAATTAGCATTTAGTATACCAAATAAACATAATAATTCGTAAGCAAGAGAATGGTAAGATAACTTTTAACTTTTCTAAGTAGAGTTTTGATAAAAAGATAATCAAATACTTTCCATACAAATTAAAAAATTTTCAAAAATTAAGTTATGTCATGATACATTTATAGGCAATTAGAGAAGAGGACAGGAAGAAGAACAAGATCAGTGACGCGATAAATTTAGATACCCAGGACGAGTTGACGATCTACCTCCGGCAGCCGTATACCGGAACGCAAGCGCCGGCGACCCGGCGATTCTCCAAACTCGGCAGAAAGGCCACGGACGAAGAAAGAGTCAGCGATAAGATCGAGATCGATTCGGACAACATCGAGACACCACCAGCAACCAGACGATTGTTCAGTCCGCCGAAAGAAGTAAAACCCGTGGAGAAAGAACCCTGCAAGAGGGAACGTTGTAGCAGCTCCCTCCAAAATCGAGAAACAAAGACCGCGATATCGAAACCAATCGGGGTTAGCACAGATCTCAGTGTTGGTAAGCACAAGTTAGAAATAAACTTCTTTTTCTCTTTTTCTTCTTGTAATATGGCTACCGCCTTCACCAGAGGCTATATAGCCTGATTAGAAATAAACGAAGGATATACTCAGGTAGAACTATTGAGTAAAAAAGACACAAGAAGGAATGTATCGGTATTGGGGGTAGGCTGATCCGCGAACGGAACTACGTCATGGTAGTCATCTTGACTGGCCACTTTTTTTGATGGTTTCCACTAAAGTGGGGGGTAAAAACCCCCGAGCTCTATTGCTCTATTGTCTATGATTGAAATTTTTTTTTCTTTGGGTCTTACTCCCTTTGAACGGTCATCTTGACCGACCACTTTTGTATATGTATACTGTATAGTCACTTCCGTCCACTTGTTCAGAACCATGCACTCTCTCCTGTGTCTTTTTAATCAATAGGTAGAACACAAAAATTACAATGATATCATTTATGAAGTCAAATTATATATGTATATGTATATATATCTCATATAAGGACGTCATTGTGACATTATTTGGCTTCTATGTTCTATTTGAGCATAAACAAAAAAATCCCCGCATTATCCATTTCTACTAATTATGTAATTTCTTTTTAATTTCATTATTTAGTATCAACTGACACCTATAAAAATTATATAAATTATAAATTATAATTTAAAAAATTCCTTACAAAATATTTATTTATTTATTATTTATTATTATTATTAATTTCTACTAGTAAAATAATATATCTCAATTTCCAGGTAACTTTGATAGATACTCGGCGACACGACGAACTCGCAGGTATAAGAAAACTCAAGATCCTACGGGAGACAAGGATAAATCGGACGTGTCGAATCTCGAATTGGTTTACGATAATAAGTCAACGGTGCAGCGACCTAACACCCTCTACTTGGCCAATGAGGAGACCCGCCACGAGGACACGGACGCTATGCTACGCGTCTGGCAGGACAAGCTGAAGCGGCGTGACACCTCTTCGTCGTCGTCGCGCGACATTGATGCTGCGTTAGCAGAGATCGCACGTTCTGGTGAAGACCTTCAGCATCTGTCGCACCCCGCGTCAACAACAGCTACGTCGACGACAATGGGCCACAGGAGCTCGCGACTTCCGGTCAGCCAACCGCCGCCGGTAGTAGCGGTGACCAATACCGTGTTGAGCCCGGTGATGCAGGAGTCGCGACCGCGCGAGCCTATCACGGTGCTCACCGAGCGGGCAGTGACGAGTCGCGAGCGTCATCGGAGCATGATCGATCCGAGCCAGGTGAAGGAAGCAGTTCGTTTGACCAGCAACCCACCCAGTCAAGTGAACCAGGACCAAGAAGTCGTCAACGGCTTTCCGCGAAACGACGGAAGCTCGCCGCGAGATCGGAAGACCGAACAGAACGACACGCCCAAGATCGTAGAAGAGGAGAAGCGCGCGGATCTAAAGTCCATCGGGGACACGAGAGAGCTCGAAAAGGATATCGGATCCGCGGAAGATCCACGCGGCGATCGATCGACGACTCGACAGAACTCCACGTTCCGCAGCCGATTCATCCCTGACATAAGTGTGACATCGTCACCGCCGTCGTCCGGCAAGAGCAGGGATCAGGAGTTGAACGACGAGGGCTTCGAAGAGACGCAGAGCCTCGTGTCGGAGACCTTGAGCCAGGAGACGTCCTCGGGCAATTACGAGACGGACACTCACGACTCGACGCGATGCTCGCCGGCGGAACTGGGTGGCTACGGTGGCGAACAGCGTCGACGTAGCGCCATTACGGTGGACGATAACATGGATGGTCGAAGATCATCCGTCGACAAGTTACTGATGCCGACTTCCGCCGCCGGTAAGACATTCGACAAGAAGATGGCCGCGAGGAGCGCATCAGAAAAATCCAGCTTCTTGCCGAAGCGCACTGCGAGCGTAAAGCGCGAGTCCTCCGCGTTGAGGAAGACCGAGTCTCTGAAGAGAACCTCTAACGTTGCCCCATTGAACGATACGGGAATGTCGAGAGGCGAGGTGCAACGTTCCGGTTCTAGAAGCAGCTTGCGCAGTTCGCGGAGCTCGTTGAACAGCGCGACGTCTGTGAACACGGTGCGGAATCTGGCCGCGAATCACGCGCATCTGCGGAGCTACACCTCGGCCATCCGAGCGTTGACCAATGATCTGAGAAAGAACAGTTCATCGAGTAATCCGCAGCCGCCGAAAGATGCGGCCGACAAGAGACGACCGAGTCCTCGTCAGATTGGCGTCAGCAGGATACCCGCCAGTAGAAGTAGCAGTAGCGGCAGCAGCGTCGGACCGGCAGTGAGGAATATTCGAAACGTACCCGAGGTTAATATAATTTAAATATTTTTCTTAAAAAAAAAAAATTATATTTACACATATATAGAAAGAAGGTACATTAGAATATTATGGTCGTTCATAATTAAAATGGATCTATTTTTCATATATACTTTAAAAAAAACGAATACAATACAATATAAAGACTCTAGTTTACGAAAATGTACAAAAAATTTTTTTCATAAAAATAGTGAAGAATACCTAAAAATTCAAAATTCAAAAAATTCAAATAGACGGAATAGACCATACTGGAAGAGTAATACTCCAGACCGATGTGAACCTGACACCCAACTTTATAAAAATTAAAAATTATTAGTACAGCGCGATTGTACTTCGTTTGTACTCGTTTATAGTAGTTATACCGCTCGTTATTTTGTTTGTATCTCAAATAAGGAAACAAAAAAAGTTATAAAGAAAAATGATCAGCACGCAAGTAAAAACTATTCAAATTTCAATAATGCCATTCGAAAGAGCATTGTTTGTACTTTTTTGTATCACCTTTCAAATCGTTCATATCTTAATCGGACCGGAAATAAAGCTTTTCAAAAGACGTACAAGAGGTATTTTGGTCAATTTTTGAGATATCCAAAAGCAACAAGCGCCATTCGAAAGAGCACGATTAGCACCCTATTTGTACCTCAATCGGATCGGAAGTAGCACTTATACGAGAAACCTGTACTTCCTGTCCGATTGAGATACAATACAAAAGATTTAAAAAGAAGTACAAACGGGTGCTAATCGTGTTCTTTCGAATGGCGGTTGTTGCTTTCGGATATCTATTATTTAAAAAATTGACCAAAATACCTTTTGTATATCTTTTGATATGCCTGTATTTCCGGTCCGATTGAGGTACAAACGATTTAAAAAATGGATGATACTCGAGCTCTTTCGAATGGCATTATTGAAATTTGAATAGTGAGTGCTGATCATTTTTTTAATCATTTTTCTTTGTTTCATTTGAGATACAAACAAAATAACGAGCAGTACAAACAAGTACACTCGCGCTGCACTAATAATTTTTAATTTTTATAAAGTTGGGTGCCAGATTCACATCGGTAACTTATGGAAATGAAAGTAAAAGTTTAATTAAGAAAAAGGATGTTTTCATTTAACATGATTCCAGGAAGATTGTTGTATAATTTTTTTCACAAAGTTAACAGTTTAAAAATGACAATTTTTCTATAAAAAATTAATAATTCTTTAAGGAGTTCATGCATTTTACGCAATTTGGGAAACACACGGGGAACGTTGAGTTCATCTTTTTGTTTACTGAATTTCACTGTGCTGTGAATCCGAAAAATGTAGATAAAGTTGTCCTAGCTAATATCCAGGAAATTTTTTTTCACATTTTGAACAGAAAAAAGCAATTGTTGATTTTATTACTTTGTTGAACTATATCTGCGAATTTCTCTTTGTTTTTATAAAAATATGTTTCGATACTACTTAAGCCTTAATTCTTTCTCATCAGAGCTCATCAGAGGACTTGACAATCTGTAATGTAAGTTACCTTAAGCTATGTATACATTTTAACTTTTGCATCGAAATATCTCGAAAAGTGTAAAAGATGCAGAAAAATGTTTCAAGTAAAAGTTATACTAAAGTGGGATAAATGGTAAAAATAGTTTTCGAAAAAAATCAATTTTTCAAGATCATATAAAGATGTTTTATATTTTATGTCGAAATATGGCATAATAAAATATAAAATATCTTGTAAACTATTGAATTTTCGACAGTTTTATATTTAATCCTTTTATACGTAGAATAAAAAAAAGAATAGAATAAAAAAAAGGAATCATACTATGTAAACAAATTATATAATTCCATATAAAAACATGATGGTACTCCACATGACCTTGAAAAATTTATTGTTTTTTTGAAATTATTTTTACTATTATTTATCCCCCTTCAGACCGTATAACTTTTATTTGAAACATTTCTCCACATATTTTTACTTTTCGATGCAAAAATTAAAATACACTGGTCCAAAAAATTAAAGGATCACCTGTTCTAGCCTCTAAAAATAGGCAAACTTCAAGATAGAGCAATTTCGTCAAAAATGATCATATCGAGATGTTCAAAAAAGCATTTTACAGCTTGAAATCTCTACTTTCCAAATCGGTACTTGAGAAAACGATTCTACTGATCTTTCATGGAATTACACGAATAGAAAGGGAGACCCGACGAATCTCAAAATTTTTTACGAACTTTGACAAGTTCCATGGCGCGAATAAAAAATCGCATGCAAATGCAGTTTACAGCTTTCGAAAGAGTGAATCTTTACCTTTAATTTGCTTTTTTTGTGAGTCGTTGTACGATTTTTTTTCATCAAGTTATTCAACATTAAAAGCAAAAAATGGTCTTTTTTGCTTCAATGTTGAATAACTCGGTAGAAAAAAAATCGTACAACGTCTCAACTAAAAAAGCAAATTAAAGAGAAAGATTCATTACTTCCGAAAGCTGTAAACCCTGTT